GGAGGAGGCGGGTGGGGTTGATCGAGCGGGGGGGGGGAGGAGACGGAGGAACCGGCGGGATGGGGGGAGAGCTTACCTGCTCCTGCTGGTTCCTCCTCCACCTGCTCAGTTTGGAGCTCCCCCCCGCGAGTTTCGCGGGTCTTATTTCTTGTCTATATATCTAATAGCCAAGTTGCCCCCTCCGTGCGGATATCTAAATCTGCACATTGGGGGCACTTGGGGGGCAGAGAGATTTTCCTGAACACTTGGAGCAGTCCCCAGGTGTGCAGAAAAATCTAAAAAGTTAAAAAAACTATAGAGTGAATACTTAAATCCCCCCAAAAGTAAAAAAGTGTTCCCTGCGCATGCGCAGAGAAAGCCCTGGCAACTGTCTCACCACCGCTGCCTGGGGGGGGGACAGGAGAACGCTTGGTGGGCCAGCCTTGCGGGGAAAGGGAAGGGGGAAGAAAGCTCAGCGGGCTGGCAGCTGTGATCCGTTCAGGCCTCACTGCCGCTCGGGAGGGGGGTGGAGGGAGAAAGCTTGGCGGGCCGGCCTCGCCACCAATGGGGGGAAAGGGATGGGGAAGCTTAACGGGCCGGCAGCTGTGTGCCGTTCAGGCCTCACTGCCGCTTGGGGGGGTGGAGGCAGAAAGCTTGGCGGGCTGGCCTCAACTACGTTGATTCTGGGGGGCAGGGGAGGGAGAAGGCTGAGCTCACCTGCTGCCGCTTCTCCTGCTTCTGCAGGCGGGGAGCAGTGGGGAATACTTCCCCTCCCTGCGAGTATCGCGGTTCCCACTTCTTGTAACATTTCTAATAGCTAAACACACTTACCTATTTTGACCCTTCCTCTTTCAGGTCCTTCTCCCATTACCAGAATATTTGCTGGTTTCTGAAAAACAAGAAATACAATTTTTAATTGATCAACACTTGATGAGACATTAAACTTAATTTTCTCAATGCATCAACAGTTTACTATGTTCAGAACACAGTATCACTTCTGCTCTCTGATGCACCAATTAAAATTGAACTGAAATCTGTGTATATTTCTTTCTCCCAAAAAACTGTTTTCATCTAATTGTATGTACAAAAACACTTTACGATAATTAAAACCTATGTTAACAGACCGTAGATGCTTGCAATGCAAGTCAACATGTTTATGATAGGAAGCATGTTTTTTGTAGTTATGCCATCTGCAATTCATCAGTGTGAACAAGAGAACTGGCCCAAGTACCCTGCACTTATTGGAACAGAGAACAGAAATGCTAGTGCAGTAAATAAGACTTAAGGACTTCAGTAACATCATATGATTTGTGGGAACTCTTCTACAATACCATAAATGGAAGGAAAAGGAAAATGCAACTGAAAACTTAAAGTGGTTTTAAACAGAAAAGTGAACACTCAAACATTTAAAAGTATTGCAGGTGTCATCTCTCCCTATTTAAGTAGTGGGTGCCAAAGTTCTAATTCTAAAACGCACTCCCTTAGTGTATGGCTGATGGAACTGCTCCTCAGCATATATCGCCACCAATCAGAAGGCAAAGCCCGGGTCCCGCCTACACCACAACTGCTGCGACTGTGTACCTCACCGGATGCCATTTTCATTTTGCTCGATGAAGAGGATTACGAGGGCACTATTGATTTGGTGACCTGCCTTCCCCAGCGCCCACTCAAACATGGGCAACGGCGGCAGCCTCCACTCGCCCGCCTAGCCTCCCGCCCGCAATCCTGGCCTGGCGACTGGCCTTCAGGCGATCGCCTCGCTCCCCCTCACACACTCCAGGACCGGCGAGTGGTGGCTCTGGCCTTCGGGCACCTGAGTCACCCCCCTCACACAGTCCCAGCCCGGCGAAATGACTTGCCCACCTACCACCCTCCCGGCCCCCCGAAATGGTGGCTCCGGCCTCCAGCCGCCCGCCTCGCCCCTCCC